AAAATAATTATGATTTCAATGAGCTGTGGGCACATTGTTATCAATGTTCTGTGGCTTCATAGTAACTCTTTTCTCTCTTCCTTTTTTTCTAGTTCTGTATTCTTTTGAAGGACATGACAATGTGGATGCGAAATTTGTAGAGGAAGCAGCTCTGAAGCACACCACAATGCTTTTAGGCTTATAAAAGAGAAAATGCAGTTATATCAGCTTCTGGTATTTTAATCTTGCTCATTAGCTCTACTTCTTTTGAGAATTCTTTAGCAATATTTGAAATCGGTACCCCAAACCAGAGTACATTGTTGAGCCATCTGAATCTCAGTTCAGTACTTGTTCAGACAAAACTAGACTGCGGTACCTCATCCCAGTTTTGCACAGCAAGTGAGCAATCAGGTGTAGAGAGATGACAAACAGTCTGGGGAGGATGCAGTGGCATAAATGATGCCCCTCCTAGTGGCTTACCTTCCTAGTGCTTCACAGGCCAAAAGCCGGCTTCTGTTGCACTCTGAAATAAAATATGCTTAAAAATGTAGGGAACAGTGCTTAGAAAAACAAAAACTAGATGTGTCATTGAAAATAACATATGACAAGTGGAAAAATTAAATGTTGCATAAAAACTGTATTTGGAAAGGGGATACTTTTTGAAAAACTGAATTTGAACTAAGTCAAATCTGCTATTTCCAGTATAGAATAATTTGTAACATACAGCAATTTGTACATACAGTATTTAGAGTAGGATTTGTCTTTGTGATGGTTCGGATGGGACTGGATTTAATATTTTTAAACTTTTTTTATATTTATAAAAGTTTGATTTCTTAATATCTTGTCATTAAAAAAAAAAACAAACAGGAAGTTTTGGCCTGACTTTTTTGTTCTTGGAGCGTAGCCTTTTTATTCCATGCAGGAATCACGAGTCCGTGAACTGTCTCTTCAAAGGCCCCCGTGACACGGAACTAATTCTTTTTTTTTTTTCCTCTCTCTTCTACAGTGACTTCATTCTGACCTGTAAATACAGTTGCTGCCTGGGGTCAGCCTGTCACCCTTTGCTTTTCTCTCTTCACACTGTTTCTCTTAGTGAACTTGTGAAATTTTAATGGTTATAAATATTACTAGCTGGTATAATAATTCAACTTCTTTTCTAAAATCATTATTATGTTCTAAAAATTGTCCTCTCCTATAGAATTTCCCTTTTTGGTCAAATACTTCATGGTCACTGAGGCTTAAAATCTTGGAGCCATATCAGCAAGGCAGTGCTGATTTTTTCTCTTGATAAGGTCATTATTTTTCATTCCCTACCCTTTTCACATCTGGGTTGTTTCAGTTGCTTTTTGAAGTCTAATTCATCTGACTTATATTTGAGATAAACATTAGTTTGATCCTGTCACTCTGCTCATAATTCTTCAGTAATTTACCATTCATTACAGGATAAAATCCAAACTCTTGGACATTCAAGGTCTCCCAAATCCCGACCTAAAACAATTTCCCGATACGAACATTCTGTTCCAGACAGGCCGTTCCCTGGGCCTTGAACCCAGCTTTTGTCTTCTTACTTCCAAGCCTTGCTCAGGCTCTGTTCCCCACCTGGAATCCCCTCTCCACCTACTGAAATCTTGTTTATGCTTAAGGGCCAGATGAAACGTTCTGTCTCACCGTGGTCCTTGGCCATTCCAGCACACAGTGGCACCTTCTCCTCTGAACCCAGTAGCACACGTTGTAATATTTAAACATATGATCACTAATTGCTACGACACAGGAGCTGTTTTGAAGCATGCAGTATTTCTTTGTATTAACCACACAGCTTATGTGGTGTTACTCATCATAGGCACTCCCATGTAATTGCTTTTGAATAGGTTCACAAAGCAATCAGGTTAGATTCAGGACTTGTAGACTGAGAATGAGCTTAAATTTCCCTCCAATCTGGCAGGCTGGGGGCTTGGAACAGATTTTGTTTGATTTAGCAAAATAAAGGAATATGATATTTCTCACTCCCAGAGTTGTGAAATAAAATTCATAACTGATACCAGTATGAAATAAAGACAGTTTGAGCATATTAATGAATGTAAAATCACAGGTTTCAAATCTACTTGTGTATTTTTATACATGAGAACATATAAAAACAGAGTTAGGAAAATATACTTGGGTGAAATGCAATAAAATTAGAGTAATGAAATAAGTGGAAGTGGCCTCATTTTCAACTCTTTCACATGCAAAGTTACAAATATTTTCAGTGAAATTTTGAAAAATCTGGAATCAGAACTTAGAATAATCATGAGTTTATTTGCATATAACATTGCGAAAAATTTAGATTTATAAGAAAGATAAATTAGGGCATAATTATTTTTGTAGCAAAAAGATTCTTGTAAAAAGAATCACCATAACATTACTTTAAAAATGAAAAGCTTCCCTATTACTTTTTACTTGATTTAGCTTTACCACTATTAACTTCAAAGGCAACCATTTATTGAACAGAGTTATGCCCCTGGGATACTTGGGATATTTTCCTTTTCAAACAATCGTTCTTTCTCTTTCAAGTGAGTAGATTGAACAGTATTTGCTTTTTTTTCCTTTAATAAACAGAGACAACGCTGCCAATTTCTGTACTTCATTGAAAACTGATTTATTTTTATTGCATTTTTATAGCACCTGGCCTACTGTATATTTCTGAAAGGTAGTCAATATATAGAGTGAAAAAGAAAGAAATGAGCAATGCAAATATCTGCTTTGATGTAACTGTAGGACAATTCTACGTCCTCAACCTCAGGTAAAATGTGGTAGTTGGTGAGTGTCAAAGGACGCCATGTTGTTCTCCATCATTGGTTAATTGTGGATACTGTATTTGTCTGTAGTTTGGAGCTATTATGCTGACATTTTCCAGCTGTGGAGATGAGGCAGCCTGGCTGAAGCACCTCCTTGAGAAGCCTAGATTGGTTCACATACTCAGATTTCAATTGGCTTTATAACGGGTTTCCTTATGTGCCTCATATTGGCCCCAGGTTCACTGGGCTTAAAAGGAGCCAAAGCGCCGTAAGGTTTCGGCACAGGAAGAGTGGCCTCTGCCTCTGGGATGTAGGCATTTGGACGCGGCTCTGCAGTCGTGTAAACACCATTGGGCAGCTGGCGATTATCTGCTTCCAAGAACTCCTGCAAAGAATGATTTTTCCTTTTCAGTTTTCTGAAAACTCGGGTGAAGTCACTTCATCCTCAGGCCCCAACAGACACAGATGGGGTCTGAGCAGCCTTAGACTGTGCTGGCCAATGTTCCCCAAAGGGATGGGAGGGTATGAGGGTGGAGTCACCACACACACACACACACGCACGCACGCACGCACGCACGCGCGTTCCATCTCATTGGAATGACCCGTGTTGCTCAAGCATCATTCTGTTCCTGGGGTTTGGGGTTTACCAGAAACTGGTTGGTGGGTCCTGAATTCACTATATTCCAACCTCAATATCTTTCATCAAGCAGTAATTATTTCCATGTTTTTGAGAAAGGCAGGACAATCTATTTGCTTTGGTAAGTCATTGGTGAGCCAATGTTACAAAGGAAGAGAGAAGGAGTAAAGTAGAACCAGAGGAGAGGCGTATTCAGCGGCGTGCTTTGAGCCTCAAGGTCCTCAAGACTCTGCCTGTGCCACTGGAAAATAGAGGACCCCTGATCGCATTAAAAGGAATTCTTAATAATGGAGACAAGTAAATGACACTTGGGACACCATAAGTAAAATCTGAATGCCTTAAAAAATATAGTCCCAGGCAATGTGGGAATTACAAATTAGCCCCTGTACTCGGGTATTCCTAGCACGTGTTTGGAATGCATCTTGTTCTTGGATTAGGGAGTGAATAGTGATCCTTTTGGGATGTCTACTTGACAGTCTGAGAGAGAGTTGTAGGTCCCCAAGATGTAGTCTCCTTAGAAAGAGATGCCTAATTCCATTCTAAGACTATTGAAAGGTCCTGGGAGTAGGCAGAAGAACTGGCACCCAGCTTGCAGGTGGAGTCAGTGGTAGACCTAGACTTAGACCAGTAGTGGGAGAAGAAAGGGGTGGCATTGAGGCTTATGATACACACCAAGTGCAGAGTCTGCAGAAGGCTATGACAACCATAGTATGCTGGAGGCCTCACAATATGCTGTGGCGGCCATAGCAGACGGACATGAAAGAGTAAGACGCGGTCTGACCAGGGGTGCGAAGACAGAGATTGGAGACCTATGGATAAAACCAATGCCAACCTGGTCTTTGCCATGCCAGTGGGAGGTGACAGTGTTCAGCCACAGCAGCCCAGGACATAAGACTGTGGGGTGGGACTCGGTGCCTGCCAAGTGTTCTCTGGGGAATATTCTGGCACTTTGGACTGTTGTACTTTGACCTGTCTACATAATATCTTAAAAAAACAAAAGTTCTTTCTATTGAATGTTGGGACTATGTGTGTGGTAAAGTGGGAAATTTTTCACATATTTTGGGCGGATTGAAACCCCTGACAACAGCCCTTCCTGGCACACTTTGCAGGTGCAATATGGAAGGCAAAGCTTACCTTAGACTTTTCAGCGATGGCCAAGGCATACATTTCTTCATCTCGAAGTACCTTCAACCATTCTCTCTCAATCTCTTTGTTGAGTGGCAGACCCTTTTCTATCCTGGAATTGCAAGAGAAGATGAAGTCTTCTTTCTCCCTGACTTCCTTTTGGAGTTCAATGGCCAGAGCTTGTTTCATGGACAGCTCGGCAACAAGAGCCATCATTTTTTCAGTAGCATCTTTGATCTTCTTCCGGTAGCTGTTCATCTAGAATTAAAGAACCCAAGGCTTAGCATATGTGTACATTCCATGAAGAGTTGAAGAAAATGGCAGGCTTCTGGCTGTGTATAGTGGTGGGGGCATTCTTGCCTGAAGGAAGGAGGGTTTTAAGTGGGAGTTTATAGAAAACAAGAATTGGAGGATACCTCAGAGATTGAGCCCAACACCTTGGCTATGTAAATAAGGACAAAGAGGGAAAAGAAAGAGATCTGTTCATCTAGTTACCGGATTTCCAAGTGGATAGTGTTGAAGGGAATAGTTTAATCTCTCTTTTGTCTAAGGGGTGATAAGAAGAGGGGGAAAATGTGTTCTTGATGTCAAAGTTCTGACCTAGTTTTGCCATGTTATTAATTTGTCACTTATCCAGCAGAAAAAAAATCTGGTAGAACAAAAACTATATTTAAAAGTTACTCTTTACTTATATAATTAGCAGAGATCCTGCATCTGAAGTGATTTTTAATGGAAAGTATCACACCTCAAAGTGTTTGTATTATTGATCTAATTTGTGGGATTCATCATTATTAGGTCAAAAGCAAGCATGAGCTGAACTGGGCAAAATCTGGCCAATAATTTGAAATGAAATGTTCCTGGTCGTGTGTGTGTTTACCATTTCACATCAGCTATTTATCATCAAAGAGTTAAGAGATAGGACTAAGTAGAATAATTGATTTTAAAGGAAAGAAAAGATGTAAACTTGGAATTAGTGCTGCCTGTAGGCATCCTGGCCCAAGGCACAGCCTTCCAGTGGGGCTGTTGCCAGGGAGGGGCAGTTAGTGGTGGTTCCTTCCACCTGCCAACACTCTCTGTCCTGTCACCTTGCTTTGTTTCTTCATATCCTATTTCACTACTGACATT